TAACCATAGATCCCCGAGTCATCTTACGGGATGTTCTGTCACAATTGAATACTATACCTGCGTCAACCATTGTTCCAATAGAGAGCAGATTTCTACTCATACCAGGGATGTGCACCACTTCAGGGAGCGTCCTCACTGAACCATCATGCAACCTCAGCTTGATTTTCCCGCGGCCAATAATCTTCACAGTAGTATCATCTCCTAACAGAACGTTTCCTCCATTGTATGTCTCATACTCACAAAACCATTCCTTGTGAGGTGTCATACGGAATGACGCACCAGTATCAACATACCAGACTGATTGGTCTGATCCAGCCATACATGCAGCAGCCACATATCACCATTTGATTCCCGTTTGTACGAAGTTTCAGCTTCTTTTCCCTTCACCAGTTTGTTTCTGCAGTCTTTCTTAAAATGTCCAAATTCCTGACATCTCCAGCATTTAATCTTACTTTTATCCTTGCTCTTAGATCTACCTCGCAACTTTCTCCTGTCGCCAGACTTATTAGAATTCCATCAAGGTTTAGTCCCTTAGCAATTAAAGCATCCCTAGACGAAGCCTCTGAACCTCTTCGCCGCATATCCTTGCCAACAATGTAGAACATACAGATTCCCACGACATCTGTGTCAATCCTCCACCACCAATCGCAACAATCAGATTTTCCCACGTAGAGGTAGAAAAGCAACCCGCCCGGCCCTGCCTAGCCCGGTCCGACCCGACCCAGCCTGCGACGAGTTGCTGTTAATGGCAGGTTGGTTCTGACCTGACCGGTGACATTGGCGGGCCGGGTTAGGCCTGCCAATATTAAGGAATTGGCTGGCCCAACCCAGACCGCCAACCCTAACTCGCCAGGTTAGGCGCGGGTTGGGCCGGGTTAACCCGCTTTTTGAATTTTTTTTTTTTTAAATTTTTTTTTGTTTTATTTTGTTTAAGTTTAAATGTTTAATTAACTTTTCAAATGAATAATTAACAATTTATAAATGTAATTGTTTTTTGTTAATTGTTAATTTCTTTTCAAATATCAATAATTAAATTAATTAATTTTTTTTTTTTTTGGTAACATTCCAAATATTAATTCAATTTTAATACATTAAAATTGTAATATAAGAATAATTAAATTTATTCATTTATTAAAAAATAAAATAAGAAATTACAATAATTAATGCCTCGTTAAAAACCTCACCAAGAAAACTCAATAGGAAAAAACTGTAAGGACAAAAGAGTGCAATAATTGATAATTATTTTTCAAGTTACATTTACAAAACAACTAATTTTGGGTTCGTTAGGACCTCCCTCATCCGTATCATCTATATTACAAAATTGAAATGATTCTATTAAAGTATCGTCGACAACCTCGTATTGACCTTGATGGCACAACCGCTCCCAATCTCGAAGACATGTGGACTTCAATCATTTGTGGTGAAGTTTAGTCCTCCTTTCACTTAAAATTCTTCCACTTGCACTAAATGTTTGTTCGGATGAGACGATTGAGACAGGAATAGCAAAAACATCCAAGGGAAGTCTTGATAATACAGAAAAATACATTTTCTGACTCTCTAATAGTCTAAGAGATCAATGTTAGCTCTCTGTTGTGGATCTACTGGTAACATTTCAGGGTTTGCCAATATTTGTTGAAGCTCATACTCTACGACTATATGGAAGACAGTACATTAGTTGTTGTTGGTTGGTGGAGCTTCGATGAGGAGGTTGTGCTTCGGATTCGGTCCTCTTCGCCTATTCAGTGCACCCCAAGAGTAGAAGTCTTCATTTTGTTCTTCTGATGCAGCTTCCCTGGATGTTTCGCCTCTTTGCGGGTTCCCATACCTGTTTTCATACTGGAATAACTTCGAAAATGTATTTTTTACCTATCCTATTTGATTGGCATATGCTTCGGTTTGTAAATTTTCACATAATTGTCAAAACCATTTTCTAAACCTGCTAATAAGCACCTAAACAATAAAGAAATGAATGGGTTCCCAATTTTAAAAAAAAAATTCCATTGCCTTTATTGGTGCATTTAAATTACATTGTCTTTGTTTTTTATAAATAACTCGGAAATTTTATAATTGTAGTATTACCAATGGACTATTAGATAATATCACCAGAAAGTTGTAAAGTGGATTAGTAAAAAGTTTAAGAAAAAACGAAATACCTTAGCTATTTGCCAATCATTTTCTACAAATAATGAGGACCTCTATTATTTGTTACAAAATAACTAATTATATTAACATAAGTAAACATCAAGCATTAAATAAGTACTATTCTATCTAACAATCATGTCTAATGCAAGTTCTGGAGATATTTTATTTTATACAAGCTTTTTGAAATTCACATTCTTTTATTACTACTAGTAATCCAAGCTAAACAATCTCTATTCTATTAATATTTTCTTTAATTGTTTCATACCACTTTTCACAATTAAATTAATATAGGCATGCACAAATGGTGAAATACTTCAAATTGTTATATAAAGGATAATTTTTTGAAAATAATCTATAGCTTTACTATTAGAACTGCATTTCTAAAGTTAAATTATCACTTACTAACAACGTCATAATCTTCTAAAACTTCAATAATTTTATTATAAATTTGTTCACCACTATGATCAACATCCGTTAGATCTTAAATCCTAATAAAGATTTATTTAATTTACATTCATTATCAAAATAATGACTAGTCACACAAATATAATCTTGTTTAGCTCTACCACTCCAAATATCGGCAGTTAGAGCCACACTAACATGACAAGTATGTATTTTATTTTTTAATTCTAATTTCATTTTTTAAAACAATTTTATTAAATCATTTCTAGTTGTAGTTTTAGAATAACTTTTAAATCCTGGAAAAAATGAATTTTGAACAAATCTTTGAAAATATTTATCTTCAGCCATATTAATAGGTTGATCAGTTGCAGCAATATATAAAGCTAACTGTTCCCTATATACATCAGAATTATCACGCCAATTAGTACCCATATTAGTTATTTGAGTTTGATTGTTTTCTCTATTTCCATGTTGATTAATATGTTTATTAGCATGCATTTTTAAAGTACTAGTACCATTACCTGAATCATCTTTATAAATATTTCCACAGTATTTGCATCTCGCTTTCTTGACTTGAACGCCATTTTCTATCTCGTAAAACTTGCCAAAATGCGCCCAAACGTCTGATGTGTGTCTGTCTTCGCTTTCGACGGCAGTTGATGATCCCGCCTCAGCTTGAGATGAAGTTGGATGAGCACGACGATTACGAGGATGACTTCTAGAACCACCAGAAGCTGTTGGAATCGAGGGCATATTTTGAGGTGTATCGGATTCTGAGAATGGGAAAACGGGACTATTTGAATCTCCTCCTGCATTTATGTTAGTAAAATCAACGGGACTGGGACTAGGACTAGGACTAGGACTAGGATAGTAGTTTCCGTCATCATTGTAATTGATGGGAGAGAAATATCTATCCATTGTAGTTGAAAAAAAAAATTGATGTAGAAGAAATAAAAATTAAAGAAAGAGAATTGGAAATTTGGAATATGGAAATAAGAATTAAAAATTGCAAAAACTAATAAAAATTAAAATACGAGCAAATTGATAACAAAGAGATTAAGAGAATAAATGAATAATTTAGAGATTAGAGAATATGAGAGAATGAGAGAATTTGAGTTGTGAGAAAAATATGAGAGTTTATGGCCAATTTATAGGAAAAAATGGGAAAAAAATGACAAAAAAGACCCCTCCAACGGCTATAAAACGGCTATATTTCAAGGGTAAAGGGGTAATTTGAAAAATAAAATAAAACTTTTTTTTAATTTTTTTAACAGCCAACCCGACGGGTTGGCGGGTCTCTTACAAAAGAGACAAAACAGCAACCCGCCGGGTTGTGAGTTGCCATTGTGCAACCCGGCCCGCCCAGGGGTCGCTGCCGGGTTTAACCCGTATTTTTACCCTAACCCGGCCCAAATGTTCCACCTTTAGTCCCACGTATCAGGCAGCGAGCATAACAATGTTACCACTTTCTCATATTCGGTGAGTTGTACATCCACAGCCAGCAGTTGATTCACCAGAGTATTAAACTCATCCAGATGTGCAGCAAGAGAATCCCCATCATGCATACAGAGATTATAGAGTTTCTTGCGACGAAACAGCACGTTCACCAAAGACTTACTCAGATACATATTTTCCAGCTTCTGCCATAAACCCTTAGTCGTATCCTGATCCATCACATTCGTTAGAACAGAGTCCTCAAGATAGATGCGAATCAAACCTCTGGCTTTCCGATCCATCTTGTCCCATTCAGCAAGTGCGGCACGATCAGTCGCTGATAATTCTCCTTCAAGTGACGTTGATGGTTTAGACCCAGACGTACTTGACAATGCAATTCCAGACGTTTCACTTGTCGTAACAATGGCAGTCCCGACTGTCAGCCTATCATTCACAATTACACTCCACAGATCCCTATCAACGAGTAGATTCTCCATCCATAGTTTCCAAAGCTCGAAGCGTTCGCCGTCAAACTTCTCAATCTCAACCTTTGATCCCGCCATCTCTAAATCACAATCTAACAAAACCTGGCTCTGATACAAATTGAACAAAATAGAGACAACAACAGGAATAAAATATAATAGTAAAATAAATCAAACAGTAAACAGAGAAAATAACACGCGCGATTTACCCTGGTTAACCCAATGTGGGCTACGTCCAGCTGAGTCAATATTATTGCAATATGCCTCACCTCTATCGTTTACAATGAATGAATTGCCCTATGATTTACTATCACAATCATAACAAGAGAAAAGTATATTTAGATACTAGGTTTAAGAGAATAAACCTAGTTTTACAAGGATTTCTATTTCTAAGCCCAACCCAATAAAGAATTAGTAACTTAAAGGAAATCCTACAGCGGTTATACATGGAAAAGCCCAAAACTGTCTACGAGTTCGGGGGCGCTGCCCCGGTGACCCCCGCCTGCTCACTAGGGAGCAGGGCACCCGAATGCATCTGCGTTACCCATTAATACTGAAGTAGTCGACAACTCCAACATATATGGCTGTTACTAAACACTTATTAAGAGGATGACAACTTCTTTTTTCCACGTTTTGATAAATTAGCATCGCCATTAATGGAAGCATTAACTTTTCTTTTCTTATCTTTATTGTTTTCTGGGGACTTCCCTTGTCGGTTGAAGGTGATTGTGCAACTAAGGCTTCTATATTATTCTTGTTATTATCTTCAACAGCATTGGGTGAAGAATTGGTTTCTAGAGGGCTTCCCTTGTCGGTTGAAGGTGATTGTGCAGCTGAGGCTTCTATATTATTCTTTTTATTATCTTCTACAGCACTGGGTGAAGAATTGGTTTCTGGAGGACTTCCCGGATTGTCTTCTGGTGGAGCTGATGCATCTAAGACTGCATTATTAATTTGACTACTTCCCTCTTTGATTTGTGGATCATTTACAGCACCACCTAGTTTCTTGATATGATAAATTAAGAAATTATGTTAGCCACGGGAAGTTTTTAGCCACACTAAAAGAAATGATCAAGAACTATTGACAAGCAAAATCAACTTACCCACTCATATTATCTTCGAACTTATTAATGGACGCAGAGAGATGTATGTTTCTTAGCTTGAGCAAATGAAGAAATTATTCGTTCTTCTTTCGAATTGCTCAATTGATCGCGCTTGAGTAATTGAGGAACAGTTTGATGGATTTCAGTTGAGCAAAACGCTGAGTTTGCTTGGGAGTTTTTTTTCACTAGCTTTGGGGGGGTTTAATTAGACTGGTTTTGAGGTGTTTAAAAACCATTACTTGCCATATTTTTTATGGAATGATTTTGACTGGTTTAAAAACACCCTAAAACCAGTGTAGTGTATTTTTTAGGGGTTTATAAAACACCCCAAATCGGGGTGTTTTGGCTGGTTTAAGAATTTTATCCCAAAAAAAACCCCTTTCCACTATTATTCATATACAATAATCTCTTTGCTAGTTTAAAAATTTCTTCAAACCCCATTCAATCTTCAACTTTTAGATGACTGTTACAATGCTTTTGAATCTTTTATCTTAGGCTTTCTAATCCTTCATTAGAGATATGAAGGTTTTTCTTTCTTTCTTCTTCATTTTCCTCTTCAACTTTTTGTTCTTTTAATCTGGTAAACTCCTTTGCAGGCTGTATATAATTTAATTGCATTTCTTTACCAGCTGTTTTAAAAAATTAGGTAGTTTTTCCTTTATTTGATTCTTTCTATTTGCGTTTAGGTGATTAATTGAATCATTGTCAGTTTGTTAAATAAAGATTGTTTTTTATGGCTTTGCTTCACTGATTGAAGAAAATAACAAAAAATTGTTTTTTAGAAATGTTGTTGCGGTTGTTATATTGATAATTTGCGAAGTCCAACATTGTGGCATCATATTTATTCTCTTAAAATGACAGATTTCGAATGAATGTGTGATGAATTAAATAATATACAATGAAACAACTTACAAATAAACTAAACTTGGAAGGAACTTTGATACTAAGTATTGGTAATTGAAAACAAAAAATCCCAAATCCTGGTTGAAGTTGGGGTATTTTTATGGGCATATATATAAATTTATCATTTTAAAAAACTGTCAGAACCATGGGAAAATAAACTCCCAAGCACAGGTTGAGTGTTTTAAAAACCGCTACTAAAAACCCTCAAAACCATTACGGTGATTTACCCTCAAAACTGCTACGATGGTTTACTTTCATAACCGCTACCATAAAACTCCCAAGCAGACCCTAAGAGTATTTATAAGTAAAATCTTAGACATAAGTCAAACTTTAAGTCTACGCAAGTAATTTAAAATGGTCAAAGTCAGCTTAAAATTAATGTTCACTATTTAATTACTGTACTTACGACTTGATTAATTAATATTTTTATGTAAAAATATTACAAACTGAAAGAAATATGAAGCCTACCGTGTCGTTTCACATTAGTTGGGCAGATTAATCCTAGACGTTGGTTCAAGACAGATCGTGTGGCTCTCATTTGGCTGATGGTCAATGGTACAAAAGAGGGCAAATAGTTGGGAAAAATCATTGGGGTCTTTCTTCTCTGTTAGTGCGATTTGGGTTGTTGTAAAAATCGGGTTAGGGCTTGTTCACTTGGTTGATCTCTCTGTAATTTTGGGCAGTAGTTAGATTGAGGGTTGCGTTTCCTTCAAGGGCTAGAGTAGTGCTCTAGGGTCTAGTGAGTTACAGTGAAAGGGGTTAGAGTGTTCAAGTCTGATTTCTGTCTCTGTATGATCAGTAGATCAAGATTGTATTTCTTGTGTAATTTGTTGATAATCCTAGTGCAGTAGTCTCTTTATTTCGGAGCTCAATGTAAATGTAATCTATCTAACATTGGATAAGTGAATCACAATAAAAAGATTATCTTTTGTGTGTGTGATTGTTCATTCTTGATTGGTGATAAATTAGTTCTTGAATTGGTGAAATTAGACTCAGATTGCAACACAAACAAAATAACTTAAATGTATTTAACAATTAAAAAACACTAGAAAACAATCTGCAATTAGTTGAAACATTACTTGCTTTACGCGGTTGTCAATTGTAGTCTATTTGTTTACATTAGAATTTGAAGTTTGAATCATATAAAATAATGTACTAGAGAACGATAGCAACTCCAGCAATTTTTGGTTAACAATTCACATTTGTTAATGCTGAATTTGATTGATGATCTAGATGTCTCTGTACAAGTGTAAATATGGGACAAACGTATGTTTATGAATAAATAATTTAAAATGAATATATGCCTACTGCATCAATTTTATGAAGCTTATACCTATAATAAATTACTAAAATAAGATTCATATTTTATCAGATGAATTAAGATACTAGTGAAAGAAATTACTAAAACACTATTCATCTTCATTAATAGTTATAGTTCAAACGTTTAACCCTTGAGGAGAGGATATTAGATTCTGGATTTTGAATCTTCTCTTTATCTAAACTTCAATCAATTTTGAAAAAACTTTTGACATATACATAATAAACTGCTCATATAGAAAGAGAATTTTAACATGGTCTATTTGAGTCGAGATTTTAACATTTCTATACCACTATACTTAAGGAATTTCCATCTTTAAGTTCCCAACGGATAGAGGCATAATGCTAATTGTCTAATTGAGACATGCTAAGCCAATAATCTAGATTTTTTTCATAAGTAATTGAGAATATATCGTAAAACTAAAAGAATTCATACAAAACAACCTTGTTATCTCTTACTATGTCGATGTAGTGAGACCCCAAATAAACTCATTTCTCTGTAACGAATAAATTGTTATTTTGGATACATGAGAGAATAATTTATTAAAGAGAACCTCAGCCGTAAATTGTATTAAACTTATTTTATTACTCGGTTTGCTACATAATATTCATTATTCAATAATTTTACATGCATGCACACAAGCTCTCATCAATTTAAATGGTAGCCTGATCAGCCTTTGAAGCAGTAGTAATTTTAGTAGAAGCATCGGCTACTAATAACACTATCACTCTCATCAACTTCATGAACTGCCAAACTCCTCTTTGTAACTTTGATATTGCCATTGATTTGTAGAGGTCGTCCCAGTTTGATCGGTGGTCTAGTTTGTCGCTTAAATCTTCTAATGAATTTATGAAAGAAACTAAATAAAAATGATAATAAACTACGAAAAGCTATCAAATTATAATGAACATAACTTTTAAGAAGAATCAACTTACATGGACATATTTTTTGGTGGGTAGGGTTTGGAAATGTGTATGGGCAGAGGGAGCCTGTTATTACTTGCCATGAATGAAACTGCTACCAGCTGAAGCCATTAACAAATTTACACAAATTTTTCCTTTGAAACAAAAGAGAATGGTATAAAGATATTATTATCATTTTTTTCTCTTAATTTCACATATTTCTTTTATCATTTTTTCTAAATTTTTGAATTAAAAATATTTTATTTTTCTTCTTAACAAGACTAAAGTAGTTCAATTTATCATATAACTAATTTTGCTTTCCATTCTCTTCAATTTCAAAATAAAATATATATCAGATAAAATTTATTACATTAAATAATAAATTGTTATTATTAGAATTTTTATTATTATCAAGATTGATAGCCATTTTTCCCTATATATTTAAAAAAAAAAAAAAAAATCAGTCCTCCCAAATGAAAATTCTAGTTCTCTGTATAGAACATGTAATTGTAAGAGATTTTAAAAAACATTAGCTCACCATCAAGAATTTTTTAATTTTACCTATCCAACAACTCGGTTGAATGGTATAATTTAAAATGATGAATTGTAGCAATTGCAAGTCAATGAAAGCAAAGTTTGACTGTTGAAATTAGGAATTGTTTTTGTAAAACAATTCACATTAACTATTGGATTGTTGTCTCCATAAGTGTTTAAAATCTCATGTTTAATAATAATATTCCGGGGACCCGCCCAGAAATAGGTGGGGATGGAGACAAGGAAAAATTCCCCGTCCCTATGGACGGGGTGGGGATGGAGATAGATGTCTCCCTGACTAATCTCCTACGGGAAATGTTGTGGGGAAAAATCCTACGAGAATTTTTCCTCGTTGTTTGGGGCATGGACGAGGGACACGTCTTTCCCACGGGACAAGGATGGGGATTCCCCATCATCCTCGTAGCGGGGGCAGAGAGAAGGATTGGGTTTAGGAGGTGGGGATGAGGGCAGGGAATGGGAAACCCGGCCCTGCCTCGGCCATGCACATCCCTAGAGAAGAAAATCAACTTAAGGAGTGATAATTTTTTGGGTTAATAGGGCTTGAATATTAATGGACATAGGGAGGTTCATATTTCTGAATCTACCAATTCGAGCCATATTGAGCAAATGAAGAATTTATTGCTTCTTTTAAATTGCTCAATCACTCTTGAGTAAATATAGAGGACACTTGGCTGAGTTTCAATTGAGCAAAAAGCTAAGAGTATTTATGTGCAAAATGTTGGACATAAGTCAAACTTAAATCAACGCAGCTAATTTTAAAAGGACAAAGTCAGCTTAAAATTTTCATTATTGATTCCTGTACTTAACTACTACTTAATTAGTTCACATTACGAAAAACACTACCATACAATAGATAATTAGTTGAAACAATTGCATTCATAATTTTTTTAACTAAAGACTGATGGCAACTGTATCATTCCTTATCATGTCGGAAAGAAATACTTAAACTTCATTAATATTTATAGTTCACAAATAATTAACTAGAATTCTTTGTTAATTATATTTTTTTAAAAATTAAACCTATATTATATTGACTACAATCTTTGGCTTAAGTCCAAAGTAACGAAGTCTTTCCAGGTAATTTTAAATGATCAAAGTCAGATTAAGTGTCCATTATTCCTGTAACCAATATTTTATTCTCATTAAAAATATATATATTTCCATGCACTTGTAGTTATTGTATTCAATTAAACATTAGAAACTAAATAAAAAATGAATTTATTTAAATTTGATTCGGGAAAGAAGGGTGTAAAATAAAAAACTTAATTAAGTTTGAATTTGAGGAAAATAAATCTAATTAAGCTTAGAAGGTTATTTTGGTATTAAATAGAGTTAACAGAGATTTTTTTTTTTTCAATTATAGAAAAGGGGTACTTTGTCATTGGGTGTGAAGATCAATTAAATGGGAGCTAAAAATCACTTCCTATTTTG